TTCTGAAGCTTTGGTACAATCTCGAAACGTCGTCAGTGAGTTATCAATGTGATCTCCAACGTCTCCTTCTCTCTCATTTCTCGGCTCCTTCCTTTTAAGTCATCTTCAACAAAAATTCTCCATTGTTCTTCAGATTTCAATTTCGTTTGGTAAACCCAGAAATTAGAGTGCGCAAACTCCTTCGATCGCCTTATTTCACTCCGAAAATCGGAGTTTTGAATACGACCCTTTTGATCTGACACCGGAATGTTGGTGGGTTTTCGTTTTTCTCCGATAATCTACTCTCTTTTTTATGTTTCTTCTTCGAGTAGGAAGAACTGATCACCATGAGTATATGTCTATTAATCTATATCTCAGCATTTTTTCTGCTGTTTCCGTTTTTGGTATTGCACTATATACATCACCATGGATCGAATTCTATCTACGAAGCCCTAGAATTTCATTTGTTGTTTTGCGCGTTTCTGCAAATACCTGATCAAAGCTCCAAGATCTTAGTTGATGATGATCTGAGTTTGAAGTAAAGGTTTTAGGTCTGATTGATCTGTGTTTGTATTTACTTCTTTGGTGTATATGATTGTTCGCTTTGATCATAATGTTGTGGGTATTCAGATTTTTGAGTTTCTGTCTGGTTTACCAATGTTGGTGTTTTTCAGGTTAGTTTTAAATGGAAAGAAAAAGAACAGGTGATCGTGAACCAGGACCAGTTCCTCTGCTTGTGCCGGTTGATAGGTTTGGGTTTCTGAAGCAGGAACACGGCAATTCTCCTCAATGTTTCACCAAGACTAGATCATCTAGTAACTATGAGAAGTATGTCTCAAGGAAAAAAATGTGATAGTTTTGGTTCTTTGTTGAGAATTAGTTTTGTGCTATGTTGTTATTGACCGTGGAGGCTTAAATCATTTAGGGAGGAGAGAAGAGTGACAAAATGGAGGAAGATGATTGGAGCTGGAGGTAGTGATTGGAAGCATTACGTTAGGAGAAAACCTCATGTGGTTAAAAGGCGGATTCGAAAGGGGATTCCCGATTGCTTAAGGGGTCTTGTTTGGCAATTGATCTCTGGAAGTCGAGACCTTTTGCTTATGAATCCCGGTGTTTATGAGGTGATGATTACCTCCTTTTCTGTTTTGGTTTTGGATTATGTTATGTTTCATTTTCTTTGGCTTCATTGCTGGATAAAAAATTGATAGCTCTTTCGATTTCACTATAGCAACTGGTGATTTATGAGACGTCAGCATCAGAACTCGATATCATTCGGGATATATCCCGTACTTTCCCATCACATGTTTTCTTTCAGAAGAGACATGGACCTGGCCAAAGATCGTTATACAATGTTCTAAAAGCATACTCTGTCTATGACAGAGATGTCGGATATGTTCAGGTAAAATCCTGACATTTTTTTCCTTTTGTTCTTAACTCCTCATTATGGTACTAAAGAGTCATGGTTCTAAATTCTTTTGCAGGGAATGGGTTTCGTAGCCGGTTTGTTGCTTCTTTATATGAGCGAAGAAGATGCGTTCTGGTTATTAGTTGCATTACTCAAAGGAGCTGTTCATTCCCCAATGGAAGGTTTGTATCAGGTGAGGCTTTCTTTACTCTAGAAGATACCCATATTGTAGCTACTTGCCTCTTTAATTATGCAAGTTTGACAACGATAGAGCTACTTTAATGTAACTGAAAAGGATAGTAAGAAAACGACTTAAAGTCGAATAAAAAATCCTTTCCTTCATGAAATAGTATATGACTGCTTTCTCAAATTCTCTGTCAACAATCCTGTAGAGAGTTTTAATTTTTATTCTGATTCGAGTCTTGAAGATTAACGGTTGTTCTCTATGAAATGCTTCCCCCTGAAGTTATGGTAGTTTTCGGAACATTATGCTTGAAAACAGAATTTCAATTCCTCGT